CAGCTGTGCTGAGGCGCCTCCCAGCTCTGCTTTTGTAAGTGGATGGAAGAGCGGAGTCTGAAAAGGGAGGTGTGATCAGGATGGGGCCCTATGCCTCTGGGGCTGGCAGGAGATACTGGCATGCAACCCAGCTTGGGAAGAGGGGCTGGACAGCTGGGCCCTGGCAGGATTGGGCTGTTAGCTCCTAAGGCGGCAGATGGAGGAATGGAAGGAGGGTTCGACTGTCCCCGCTGTGGATCCACCTCCAACAGAGGGACCTCATGCTCCTGCCAAATTACAGCATTAAGGCCTGCAGGGCTCTTTTCTATCCCACCAGGGTCCCTTCAAAGTACGTGAACCCCAACATAACAGCCATTGGCCAACTCTACCAAGGACCAGTGTGATTATTACCGTTAAACCTGGGGAAAAAAATGCGTCTCCCCAAGGACGATTAGCCCCAGGTCTGAGTTCCAGGAAGATGCTTTTTCGTTCTGGGAGCTCCAACACTGCCCATTCAAAGGAGACAGTGGCAACTTGTTGGGAAGCTCAGAGGCTGCCTGTCCTGTAGGCAGCAGTCATCAGCATCTTCAGAATACAGCAGGGCCGCATGGAGAGTCCAGGTTTCAACTACCCAAATATTTTAGGCACAGAGTGCTGGGACCTTACATAATGTCTTCAGTCCTGCACCCGATTCACAGAAGTTAAATCTGCCTGGGAGAAAAACCTCACTTTACCTCTGAGCTGCTCTTCAGACTCTTACCCAACACTGGGAAGCTACTTGCTGTGGGAGTGTCAGTCTGCAGGGCTTGAAAGTAAGGTCCCCAAATCAGACAAAACATCTCAAGTGCTCTCATTCTTTATTTTTAATAGCTTGTTCTTTAGTAAGCTAGGGGTTATTTGTTCATAAAGTCATTTTTGTACAGCCATACAGTATATATTTAAGAAATATTACACAAATTGCACTTTATACATACGACGGCCTTGTTCCAGAAGGAGAAAAATAACATTAATTAAAAAAAAATAAAGAGAACCTGCTGACAAGAAATTACAAAGTGCCAGGTGACTGCAGAATTGCACGCAACCTGGCTCGGTGGGCATGATAAATCCTCTCTCCTTTATATAATTATTCATTCTTTAAACAGGTAAAATTTATAGAGAGTATGACACAGGATAATATATCCTTTTACAATACATACTTTTATTTTTTTTTTAATTTACACTCAGCATACTTATAAATTACTAAAAAAATTTCCATTAAAAATAATAATAATAATAATAATAATAATTATGCAGCCCAGGTCCTTTCCAGTGGTAAGTACATTCACTTGGTACAAGGAGTGGATCACAGCTGGAAACCTACTGCTTACCTACTGTACAAGAGGACTGGAAGACAGGCGTCAGGCTGAACATGGACGGGGAACGAAACAAAAAGCTTGGTCTCCCCTGCGCCTGTGTTCAAAATAATTAAACAGCAACAAAAAACAGAAAAACAGTCTGGACCCACTCAAACCGGTTCACTGTCCCTCCCACTTGGAGACATGAGTAAAGAGAGAACAGGTGAAGGGGTTTCTGGCTGAAATGAATGCTCTTGCATTGGGAGAGGGGGAATCTAGGTGCACACAGCTTGTGTCTGAAGCCTAGGGCTACGGCCAGGACTTTTCATGAGCCTCTGGGGCAGACCAGAGCGCCTGAAGTAGTGAGGTGGGGACGTGCTGATTTTTCTGTGTCTGCACCACCTTTCTAAGTCCTCTGAGAGGATGACCACCACCACCCAACACACACACACACCCACACACACACTTCCTCCCATCCTGACTGCAGCAGCCTCCATACCTACGTGCAGACCTCTATACCCAACAGGAAAGACCTCTGGAGTACGGGGTACACACACAAGGCTTCTGTACAGCTGGGCACTGAGTGTGAGATCTCAAGGTTAAATGATGAGGTTGCAATGAGAAGACCCCCGAAGGGGATGCTAACAAGTGCAGTGTGTCAAAGTGCCATTCTCCCTTCCCACCTTGACCTCTTGCTCTTGCAAAAACTCACAGCTCAATGGGAGATAGGGACAGGTTGGTGGGGAGCGAAAACCCTCAGAAGAAAACAAGCAGGCATAATCCCCTCTCAGAAACCGAGCCAGCAGCCTATTTCTAAGAAATCCTGCTGGGGGAACCACCAAGGCAATGATTTTCCATCCCTCTCAGATAAGCAGTCCCAAGTTACTGTAAAAATGGCACCTTCACTGATGACCCCAGCACATCTTCTGAGTCCCAGTATACCTGTCCAGGCGAGCGTTGGGTGCTATGTGCCCCGGGGCCCAGCACCCACGCTGCCAGTGGCATACCAAGCCCCGGGCTTCTAGGGGCGCAGCAGGAAGCAGGTCTGGAGCTTACCGTGCTGGTGCCAAAGAGTTTGTGTTTGGACTTTTAAACATGAACAATTCTGCATGGAAGCCCTTGAAAGGGAGTGGCATGGGGCTGCTCAGAGCATGCTTTTATGGAGCAACTTGCCTGGTTGTATCAGATATCAAAGTGCAGCAATGGGGAAAAAGTGAGTGCATAACTGGCCCAGTAACTGCTCCCTGGGGCTGCTCAGGCTCATCTGACTGGACTTTCTTCTGACCCCCACATCCTTTGGAATTGGTAACGAAGCTCCAGTGGCACACCAATCGTACCAGTAAGGAGAAATGAGGCAGGCAAAAGGACTCTACTCAACTCTCAAGAGCCCAGGGTGACCTCAAAGGGCGGACAGCCCAGGAGAAACAAATCTTCTTTACTTGTGAACAGGTTAAATTTAGACTTAACCTGAACTGAGAAAACTGCTGACCTTTTTTTTCTTTAAACAGGGTAACCATTTCTTATCAGAATCAGCTGCAAGGGCCAATTTTCCATGCAATGCAGGGGGAGTCAGGCATGTAAGTCAGGACTTCTCGTGCCCAGGTTAACCAGTCTGCATTATTTTAAAACTGTACTACTCGGGTCTATTACTGTGCTGGGCATCATGCACTCAGTTCTGGTTGAAACAGCAGCAGACACGGTACGTTTGCTTTTCTGTCCTTGTATTAGCTGGCTTTTGAAGGATCTTGGGGCCCCATCATGTTTCCCTAATAACTTTCCACCTTCATAAACACCACCCCACCTCAGAGGCTTCTTGATTGATCTGGGAAATCATTACAGATCTACAAACCTATCAAGGGTAGAGCGAACTTTGATGCGATTCCATCCAGAGAGGTCAGAACAGAAACCGCACATCCCTGCTGCAGCCCCGTGTTACCACCACTCCTGTACCATGACCGTCCGTTCCATTTTTCACCGCAAAGAATAAATAAATAAAGATTCCCCCTAAGGAAATAGCACTTCAGAGGCAGAGGAGGAGGAATAAGCCTACAACAGATCACTCCCTATCAGCGAAGTCCAAGCAATGCATTAACCTACTCCTAATACAGGCCCCTCAAGCACAGCAACACACCCCCAGGGGTTTTTTGCCCATATCAGAAGCCAGGCATGCAGTAACCAAAACATCTGCAGGCTTGGGAAGGACCCTTTGTGAACTGAACCATGCAGTTTTTGAGTTGGGATGCAAAGCTGTCCTGCAATTCAGGTCAAGGAAGGCAAGGGGGGGGGGGGGACAGCAGTTGCTGAGAGTTGCAGAACAGTCCTAATTTCAAGTTCAGGAAGCAAGAAGGAAACATTACCCAACCAAACCATGAAATTCCCAGTACTGCTGCCCCTTTCCCTTGGGTGCAGGTGAGATAACAAGCTGTCAAGCACACATGCCTGTGTTGCTGTTCTAACATAGCTCAACTGTTGATCTGGAGAACCAAGACAGCTGTAACCACTGCCATGAATGGTATTCTGGGCCTTGGGCTGCATATGTGGGCCTAAGGACACAGACTGGAATGTGTGTTCACAGGCTAGGACATCTACTTTTAAGTTATGAGTCAGTGAACAGGACTCAGTAACTAGTTGCATTATGGACAGTGCCTCTAAGCCTCATGACTCAAATTTTTGCAAGATTTAATAGCAACATCTGTGCTGGTGGCAACTCACAGAACGATGCAATGAGTGACCCGCCTAGCACCAATGGATTATTTTCGACTACAGTCTCTACAGAAAGACACTGTCTCTCTTACTGTGGGAGATCTAACAGGACCTATTTAAAACAAACATTTCTCCCACGCTTGCCTGGACGGCGGGTGTCAGGTTTGCAGTGAGAGGTGAAGACACTCAGGTCCCCGTGTGCTCTAAGGCTGCTAATCTCTCAGATGCTTGAAGACCAATCCACAGGAGCTTGGTGACGCACTGTGGCAAAAAAATGGTTGCTTTGCTTTCTCTGCTGGAGTGCTAGGTTCTAGTTCTACAGCACCTCCCCCCCCTCTGTCCTCCTCCTGGCAAATACATTCTGCCTGGGGACAAATATTAAAAAAAAAACCTATAAAAATTATATTTACAGTGAACTTCAGTAACCATAATATAAACAAAAATAGCTTCAAGTAGTCCTTGATTTTTTTTTCCTTTCTTTTTTAATACTGATGGTCTGAGAAAGAGAGAAGAAAGTTGGTTAGATCACATTTTTAAACAAAAGATTACTTTTGGCAGATATCCTTAACACTTCTCCATGCATTTGCTTTTACAATGCTGTTAAAACAGTGAGGTTTTGGCCGCGTGAGTTTTGCCACGTGACTGAGTCGTTCCTGTCCACTGGTGGAACTGTTAAGCTCAGGTGCCACTGTTCACTTGTTTGCTGTATAAAAGCAGGCAGCCCTACAGGACTGTGAGGCTGCTGTAACATGCCAGATTTGTATTACTAACGATTCCTTTTGCTCATTAGAAACCCTGTTCTGTGCCACAATCACAGGACTAGTTATGGCTATGCAAAATTCGGCACATTTTTGGCTTTACCTAACCAGAAGTCAAATTGGCATTGATTTTGTTCTGCTCTCTCATCACCAACAAAATAAACCAAAGTAAAAAATAAAATAAAAAAATTACTCTTTTCATTGCAGGTTTACGTGGTGGGTGCTTTGAGACATGCTCCAATTGCTTGAATGGAAATGATAGCTTTTTCTTTTTATCACCTGACAACAACGTGGAGTGCATTATAAATAGCTCTGAACAAAGAATCAGTCTGTGGTTCCTTGTGAGGAGTGTATGCTTCTTCCCAGCGTAACAACACAAACCAAAAAGTCTGCAACTTTCACCAAATGAGTCAAAACAGGCCCGGACCAGCTCTTCCAACTGTGATATCCTGTGGGTGGTTTATGGCAGCTTCTCTTCCCGATGTCCGTTTCCTCGGTTCAGAATGGCAAAGGCAGGTGGGAAGCAAACCAGAGCTCACCACCAATTCCTCCCCCAGTTCCCCTTCTTTCGTTTCAAGTCGCCAGTCAAAAAAAAAAACCCGCAAAAACTGATAGTTTTTGAATTCCAAACGATTAAAAACAGCTAAGGCCACTGCTGAAACTGTCCCCCAACAGACTTTTTTTGTTAAGAGTTAGTCATCTCCTCCCTTTAGCGCTGGCAATGAAAGGCTGGAAGCCCAAGCAATTAGTGAGCAAATGTTTTGCATGGGCAACTGGCAGCAACTTTACAACGGTGGTGGCAGCGGTGACGGTGAGGGGGAAGATGCCATAGGTGAGATGCTCACGCTTTTCTGCGATGATAGTGAGATTTCAGACAACTGGCTCACACCATGAACTCGTTGTTCCCAAAAAGAACCAATTGCTGGGTGCTGCTGCAGTCTGCTTCAGCGTTTCTTTTCCGGCCTGCCCCAGCTGCTCCCTCAGGGAGCTCTTTGGTTTTTTGGGGTGAGTTTTTCACATTCTTCAGTTTCTGCTTGCCTTTCTCGGGGTTGAATGTCCCTCTGCTGGTGAACTGGGGCCTGTCTTCCAGACCCCTGAGCTGCCCTGGTGACCCTTCAAGTCCAAGCCTCGCCTCTGTGGTGTCAGCAGAAGACCCTGCGCGATAGAAGGGTGGCTTGGAGTACATTTGGAATCGCTTTCTGGTCATGTGAGGTAAGCAAGAAGAAGTTGGAGACGAAGAAGAAACAGAAGAGTCTACTGAGTCCACAGAGTCTTGCTGCTTCCTCAGGTGCCTTCGCAACCTGCTTGAGGTTTCAGTCTTGACAGGCCTCAGCGAGCTAAGTGCTAAACTTCTCTCTGACAGACAAAGATAGCAGGAGAATTGTAACTCAGCCATGTGCACTGCAGTGCGTTTCCACCTACCTCTTACTTCTGATGTTGGTGGATCTCTCAGGGGGACTTTGTCCGAGGAGAGTGGGACAGACAGAAGCAATTGACTTAACTTCCCTACTTACAGGTTAACGTTCACAAAAGCATGCAGCACTTTTGAAAATGGGATTTAGGTGCTCACCCACAATGGGTATAGGGTACCTTAATAGACAGCCCCATTATAGGCAGGAAATGGTTAAGCATGTTGAATTCATGTCCATCATGAATTAAGCAGCAAAGCCAAGTCTACAAGCTGCTTCCCAGTCATGTGTATGAACAACAAGATATTTGACCTCAGTGACTGGGTTTCTTGGACATACCAAGAGTGAATGCCACCCTCTCCAATTCATACTTTAACTCATGTCAGAAACTGGGTTGCTCTGCTATATGGGTAAGACTAAGGGAGTCTCAGTTTCACGGCGAGACAGCCTGCACTTGAATAACTAGAACAGGCAGTACAGTTCAGTGGTGTTCAGTGGTGCAGGAGGAAGGGGTATCCTCAAATACCAATTCAAAAGCCTACTATTGCCATGCGAGTCAGCAGGCCACATGCTATTGCCCTGACTATGTTTAGTAAGGAAATCTTTGGTCAGTACAAAGATTGCGTTTACCTGATCGGTCAGAGATTGCTCCTTCAGAGTCAAAGTTCAAATTTTCAGAGCTATCGGCAGTGCCAATGGAAGCTTCAGACTCAAGGGTTTCATCGTCAGAGGCTCGGGGCTCCAGCGCGAGCATCTCAAAAGTCAGCTCCTCCCTACAGAAATAAAACACAGCCAGTCAGTCAGGGCAAGGGCAGAAAGAAAAGAAACCAGCACTGAGAAAATCGAGAGAGAGAAAAGGACAAAATCCAGCACTCTAAGAAGCCAGGCAAGCACCATGTCTGGAACAGAAAAAGCAATGGCGAATAATGCTCAGAACCTAAACTCAATATAGTGAAGCTTGCCTTTCTTCACGCTTGGGCACAAAGAAGAGGGCAAAAGGGAATGGGCCTGTCGGCAGTAACAGAGACATCCACTTGTGGAACCTCCCTAATCACCTAAGCGTGTGCAGAGATCTCAAGCAAGAAGCCACTTCTCAGCTAAGCTGGTCCCAGACCATTCAGAGCCCTAAAGCTCCTCAAGTGAACAAGAAGCCACAGAGAGCTCAGGGCAGGCAGCCTGTGCTTGCAGTGACCTGTCCCAGCCTGAGCAGGACACACTGTACTGCTCAGACTGGGAGATAACAAAGATGATGACCACTGCAAGATCCATCACAGTCTCCTGGCTGGCCTGTGGGGCCTATGGACCACCACTGAGGAAACTGGGACCTGTGAGGCCCTCACAGGACCTGAAGGCTGGCAAACCAGATAAGCCAAGGAATGGAGCAAACACCTCAACCCATGATGCAGATAAATGCTTGTTGCTCCCCGTGCCAAATGACATTCTTTCCCCCTCAAGGGGGCTGATTCTTTCCCCCAGATTACTACTGGTCAGACGCTAGCAGAGCAGCGAGACTACAGAACCTGCACATATGCACTGGTTCTCAAAAGATGCAAAACAGGAGAGATGACCAGATGAAACCCTGAAGGAAGTAAATGTGTGAGTTCATCCTTTTCCAGCTCCACCTGGGGGCTGCTCTGCCAATTCCAAATATCTCAACTATACATCACAGGCAGTGCTAGCAAGAACAGCTGATCCTATGACAGCTGGCACAGAGACAACTCCTTTCCTCCACTGCCAATGGACACCCAAACAGTGCCTATTCTAATGCCACGTCCAAAGATCTTTCTCCAGCTACATACCTCAACTTTGATTTGATCTTTTACGACTCCTCCAAAATGAATTCCACAACCCTCCAGTACAAACCCAACTCAATCCTGACCTGCACTATCACTTGCAACTTCAGTGTTAAACATTCACACTGCTGCTGACGTTACTTGCCCCTGGTAGTTGAGACCAGAATGAAGTGGACAGTGCTAACTGCTGAAAGCATGCTGAGAAAACACTGACCATCTGCAAAATGTTGTAGCTATTGTCATGAGACCAAATGCATTCTCACATGTAGTTCTGAGAAGGTTTGAATTCAAGACCCTCCCTCCCCCTCCAGCCCCATTTTATACATTGCACCATTGCATCCTCTGTTCCATATGACTCACTTTTCTTTCTGCAAGCTTTCAATCTGTTCAGTCAGCACCCTCTCCTCCTGCTGCATGGCTGCCTGCTGCTGCTCTGTGACATCCATCTCCATAGCCTCCTCACTGCTCACAGTCTCCTCTGGGACATCTGACACTGAGGGCAATCGTACTGCAACAGGAGAAGTCGGGCTGGTGTAGGTTCCACGCCTTATGCGACCTTTACCCTGTGAAACAACACTTGTGTCAACGAACTCCATGCAGATCCTTTAAGACTTTTGAGACATTCTGTGGTACTCTTTAGGTTAGGACAGTGCTCTTCTCCCCACTGCCACCCCAACACCAAACATGGGAAAACCAGCAGCAGTAGGTCCCTGGCACAAGTTCACAATACACAAATTACAGTGCATGTTAACTTCAAGGATAACTCAAGGTCAAGCTAGCTTGGGGGACATCACAGAAACGTTCTCAGTTTATTCAGAGGCAGCAGATGGGAATGAAGACAATGTTCCTTATTAGCTACATGCAACCCAGATTTCATAGGTCAATTAAGGAAACAGCAGCACATAGTTTTGAAAGCTCAGGGTGTAAGATGGGAAGCTTCACTCTGCCAAGTAGCAATGCCGGAGCATGATGGGAACATCCTGACTGTTAACCACAAGGCACTGGCAGGCACAGGTCTAAACCATCCCATTCTTTGCAAAGGGACAGTCCCTCTGTTGCACAGAGAATTGTATTGATACCACTGTCTGCCAGGTAGTATTCAGCTTTGGGGGGCTTACAGATTTGCTTTCTGTAACCAGCAGACATGAGGAAGCTCAAATGAAAGCAAATGGAAAAGCTGGCAACAAAGCTATGGTAGCAGTTGTAATCCTGACACTCCCTGGACAAAAGCAGTTCAGTATTAAAACAAGTAGTGGGCTAGCTATGAGCATAAGGCACTTCTTGCACCAGGCAAAAAGACAGGGGTCTTTCTCAAGGAAGCAAATATGAGAGGAAATTTGGAGAGCATGGAAATGTTTTAAATATCCTTCAGAAAACCACTAGATGGCTGATGGAGCATCATACAGCTCCAGCAGACTGTATGCCCATCCAGTCTTGATATACGTGGATTAAAAAGTTCAGGGCATTTAATATTTAAATGTACAACAGATCTGGGGAACAGCTAACTGCTCACAAAGGAGGTTTTTCCCTAACAATACTATATGGGAGAATTTTTCCAAAACACTTGAGTGACTCAAGAGCTCGTCAGTGCTCTAACAGCAATGTTGATGCTTTGGGAAGTCCACCTTTGATTGAGCTCTCTCTGCATCTCCTAAGCTTCAGAAGGGCCTTCCTGGACTCACTCAGTGAACTCATGTCATTGCTCCTCGCTCATTATATCAACTACAACTTGATCAATGGCCCATTGTATAAGTAACACCAGCAGCAGAAATGGTCTGTTAAATCTTCAGGGGTTGTTAAGCATTATTGTGGTACTTCTCATTTCTATTAGCATGGAATTCATTTGCCACTGTTGAGATCCCAGATGCTGTGATGCTGCCATTTTGCATATGTGACAACATGTGAAATTATGGCTTTTCTACCAGTACTGAAGCTCCAAACTGTTGAAAAGGAACAAGAGGCCTACCCACACGATGGAACAAATATAATGTATGCAGAGCTGGCTTTCAATATCCCTTTCTAGGACCAGCTGCCTGGGTTTGCCTCCTGGTGGCTGAGAGGTAACAGATCTCTGTGAACAGAGAAGAGACTAGAATCTCCTTTCTTTGCAGTTCCACATAATTATGCAAACATTTATCAGAATTGGACTAATTTTGCATTTGCACAATTCGGGCTCACAGAATTTAAGGTCAAAAGGGACCATTACATCATCCACCTTGATCTCCTGCATATCTCGGCCATTCATTTCCACAGGCTACTTCTGCCATGCAGCCTCTCAGTGTAGAGGCAGAACATACCTTCCAGAAACACAGCTGGTCTTGATTCAAAAACATTGAGACATGAAGGATCCTTTACTCCCCTTGGGAGATTGGTCCAATTGCCAAACAGGTCCTTTATCTCCAGTTTGAATTTATCTAGCTTAAGCTTCCAGCCACTTGTTCATATTATTTATACCTTTTTTCCTGCTAGATTAAGGGTCCCATTAGCACCTGGAACTTTTTCCCAGCGGAGCTGTTTGCACACTCAATTCATGACACCACTCAGTATTTGTTTTGATAAGTACACAGATTGAGCTCATTACGGCTCACTGCAAGGATTATGCTCTCTCTTTTGTTCTGAAAGCAAAGAACATGTTGCTTCCATCCTGCATGTAGGGAGAAGTATTTTTTTTTTCCCCTCCAAGTGACACCCAGGGCGAGTCACCCCAAATCTCAATAGGCATGCCTACACACGTGCTTTAATGCACATAATCCTATTTTAATGCACATTAAAGTGTCACAAAAAAACTGCTCTTTAGTTAATGCACATAAAAATAGGCTATTGCGCCACTTTTTAGTACCTCACAATGGAGGTACTAAATTTAATGCACATTACCTAAAGTGTATTAATGAATGTGTAGACATGCTCACTGAGCCCAGTCAGTCTGGGGCAGCAGTAACATTTTGTGCCTTGTGTTTCTGGACTCTACAAAACTTACTGCCTGCATCACAATTCCAAGTCCTTTTCCAACGCACTACATGGAAAGAAATAAGGGCTTTTCTTTCTTTTCCTTATTGATACTTTTGGAGAAATAACGCTGCTGTAAAACAGAATATTTGGAGCTGAATGATTCAGCTATTCCCCCCAATAGGCCTAGCACTTGCCTGGAACCAGTTGAGAAGGGCAAGGGACACCACTTGCTGTGTTCAAAACATTTCATAGGAAAAGATGGGCTTGCACCAAAAAAAAAAAAAAAAGACTCTGAATGAGAATGCTGCAGCACAGATACTAGCGCAATGGAAGGATTTGCTGAATGTATTGGGAAACATAAGAAAACAATGGCAGCACAGTCCAGATTATGATTTTCTAATCCATTGCCTGACTTTGGGCACTGCTAGGTTTAAAAGGGCATGGAGAAATTTGAAGGGGTGGAATTGGTGCAAAGAGAAATCAAATGAGTCATCTTTTACATTAAACTAAAGTCTGCTTTCCTTGTGCGTCACAAAGTTGCAATAATACCATCCTCACAAACAGGTCAGGGACTGCATCAGAGAAGGCATTACTGCATTGGGACCCAGCATGGTGTAGACCAAGTGGCATGTGGGAGGAATGAGGAAAAGGAAGATTTAGATAAACCCATCAATTCAAATCTGTGCAGAAAGAGCCAAGTCCTAAGCATCGTGGTGCATATGTGTGCACGTTTAAGCAGTGGGTATGGAGGCAAGCCCCAGGTCTCCTAGATGGCTTCTAGGGTGGGATCCCTCTGCTCTAGCCATGCTGCATTATCATGGCAGTAATGCCTGAGGGGAAAGTCCATCTGCTGTGGTAAGAAAGGATGACAGAGCTGAGGCAGCTGGTATGACTTGGGGATACAGCAGATAAACACACCCCATGCCCGAGCATGAGCAGGAGGAGAGGGAAGGGTGCTACATGAAGGAAAGGAGGGACAGGAACTAGTAAGTAGAGGGAGGAAATAGGAAGAGGAGCACAGAAAAAAGGTTGACAAGGGCAAAGGTGATGGAAGCAGGAGCAGTGAGCTTGGTTGTGAGCTGTGAGCAGGAACCACCCATCACTAAGCAAGACTGGATCCCCCAGCTCCTTCCATTTATTAGGGCTGAGCCCTCCCTGCTCTGATGTAAAGGTTTCTGCCATTTGCCAGTGGTAGGAGCAGTGGACAGGAGCTATGGCACAGCAGGGAGACACTGGCTAGAGACTGAGCACAAGAGCAGCCTTTGGAGGAGTGCACCAGCAGACACAAGTCACCAGCAGCAATCACCAAGAGCAACTGCTACTGTGCAACTCAAATCCTACTCCTGCTATAATTGCTCTCCGCGTGCTCCCTCCAGAGTGAGAGAGATGGTTAGTCAGTCAGTGGAAAGGAGCTTGCATGAGAATGAATGGATGGGCAAAGTCACAAACAATGGCCAGTAGCATGGTGCTTGAATGAGTGGAGTGTTACACACAATGAAGGGATGCAGCTGTCACAGAGTGCAATGCAATTAATACATACCGGGATTGAATTGCGGGTTATGCTCATAAATCTAACTGCAATTAGTACAGGTTTCTGGATTAGAGAGGACATGAAAAGGAAAGCAGAAGGTTAGAGTGCACATGCCATTGCCCCTTGAAAACTTCTAGCCATTGAATGTGATGAGATTCGGCTTTCTGCTGCAGCAGCAACGACGCATGGCTGAGCCACAAGCTTTGCAAAATAATTGTGGAAGCATCCGCTTGGAAGAACAAGCCATGGGGAGATACTGGGTTCTTAGAAGTGAAGAGTCCAGGTTGACTGGTCTGCCACAGAGCAATCTCTTTTCTATTCTGTAAGCTGAACACAGCATATGTATGCAGCCTGTTGCTTGTTCAGCTTACAGCAGAGAGGAACACAGGCCAGCTCAGACCTCAGACTCTAGCTCACATTCATCAGCCCAGCAGGGAGCGTGAAAGCCAAGTAGGATGCTGTTCTGAGCTCCTAGAAAGGTACTGGGGAAAAGACAACGACCCTTTACTGGGAGCTCATTTCAGGCCCCTGCGCTGGAGGCAATATTAATGAAAGAACCTGCATACAGGGAGAATCAAAGGAAGGCCATGGGTTAGGGCAGCTTCCTCCAATTCCCCCACTGCTGTGTGCGTGCAGAGGAGGGAAGCAAATGGAGGCCGATAGCTGAGTGGGCTGTATCAGATGACAGAGCACTCAGGCAGGGGAATTTAATGCTAGTGGGAGATGGTCATCAGCACAGCCAGCAAAGGGCTGATTAAACCCAAGACAGTTCATCTGAATTTTCAAAAGATATTCTGAGAACGTAACAATGAGCCCACAAGCTCCCGAGGGGATGTTTCTGTGGCAACTTCCTGCAGAGTTCCTGGCAGGCACCATTCCCATCTCCTGTGGTGGGCTTTCAGAGCATGGCGAGTCGGTGCAAGGCTGAGGGTCAGTCTCTGTCAGCCTTGGGCATGGCGTTTTGGGAGGCATAAAGGCGTTATGGAGGCTGAAGTAAGTAGGAGAAGATTAGGGGGGTTAGTTTAAGTGGAAAGGAGAGGAGAGAACGGAGGTGGCTTGTCAGAACCAAGGAACTGTCTGTCAGTGCAGCAATATACATTTTCTTCTTGGCGACAGATTAATTGAATAAACCAAGTAAAACACAAAACAGCCATGGGCCCAAAATCTATTCCCCTCCACCCAGACTTCTCTAGGAGCAAGGAAGCTAGGAAAACAATGGGGGAGAAGAAAATCACTAAAAGAAAAGAAAGGTCTGCTCCAGGGAGGGGTGGGGGGGACGAGTCCATCAAGAACAGAACCAGCATCCAGCACCGTAACCACCTCTGCATCTTACCATTGATCTCCGGATCAAAGACAGCCTGCTCTTTGCTTTGTTCTCAGCAAACTCCAGGCTGTTGATGTCCTTGAGGCGGGCTCTGTATTTATTCATTTGCTCTACGACAATTAATTCCACGCAGCTGCAAGAAAAGGAAATGGAGCTAGGACTAAAGCAGACTGACTAAAGCAGTTACATCGGTCATAGAAGTGCGGGTGTTCTGCTCTGCCAGGAGGGGAAGGGACATATCCTCCAATTTATAACCTCTGGCTGTACAACATGGTGGGCACCTACATATGCACCTAATTAGCATGCATCGGAGCAGACTTGATTAAGTCTGCTGGAGCGTGATAATTAGCACACTACAGCAGCCTCAGCATCTCATGTATTCAGCAACCCTGCACTTCAAACTAGGAGCAGGGGTGCTTTAACAAAAGCTCGTTGAATTAGCTTTAGTTAAAGTGCCCACGCCGCTATTCTGAAGCGCAGGACACTGAATACATGAGACGCTGCAGGTGCTTTAGAGTGGCTCCTGAAAGCTGCTCTAATAAAAGTGCCCCCCGCCACCCTGGAGCACGTGTAAAGATGCCCTGGTCATCCAAACATCAGGCCTGCAAGGCTCAAGGTAGCCTGTGGCGCTGCTCCATCTGGCCTACCAGGCTACCAGAAGCTGGGGCATGGCTACAGAGGGGCATGGCGTGCTGCAGTATTTGGGGCCTCTGGGCCCCACTGGGCACGTCTGTCAGCAACAGGAGGGCAAGTGAAGGCTGTGCTATGTTCCCCGCCACCACGGCCAGCCTCACAATCTGGTCCGGGAGGAGCCCCATTGTCCAGAACCAGCCTGGGGCCAAGGGTGAATCTGACATCCCTGCTCTAGAGACCGAAAATGAGCCATGTGGTAGAACGGCTCCAGATGGACTAAAGGAACAAGGAGAAGAACACTCCCATTCCCTCCAGTTACATCAGGGAAACTGGGCTCCTCTTGGAAAAGAAAATACAGAAGCCCAACAGGCTCCAAAGGAAGGCTTAGAGAACGGCTATTTTGGATGTGCTGTTCTATCTGCCAGTACCTACATGCCAGCACCTACATATGTACTTGTTTGCTTTTCAGCTGGAGACATAGTAGCATGGCAAGGATGTTGACCTGGTGTCAGAGGCAGCTTTTTAAATAGAGGTAGTATTATTTCCTGGCAGAAATCCTGTATTAGCAAAAAGGTTAAAGGTACTCTGATGTAACTAGAATCTAAGAGTTCAGTTACAAAGACGGTCCTATAATAAATGTACAGAAAAGTGATTCAAATTGACTTTAACCATTATATGCCGAAAAATTGCTTTTAGTACAAAATTTAACAGGTATGACGCAAGGAACTACCATCGGGTCATTTAGTCTTACCTCCTATATAGCTCTGATGACAGGATTACACCAGATGAGTCCTTCCCCACCTCCCCCCAATTTGATACCCATGCCCCTCCCATTTCCATAGTACTTGTGCACCTCTGTCTTGACATAGGTGTCCTTAACATAACTGCTGAACATATAAACAGATCCTTGCAAAAAATGCTAAAAAAACATCCTACACAGCATGATATCATCTCATTTACAATTACTATGTACTACAGTTAGCCACATCTTAGTCCATTTACTGTAAATTGTGCTGAACTTATACAGCACTATTTTTTTTTAAAAAATCAGACCAATACGTGGTAATATCTAAAATGCCTTACAAAAATCTATAAGTATATGATGATATCAACACAATTACCTTTGTCAATACAACTTGATGCCAAAGATCAACAGAATTACATTTGACCAGTCCAATTTCCCATTAAACCATGCTGACTGGAATTTACTGTGCGACTGTCTTAACTCTTTACTGTGTGACTGTCTTAACTCTTTACTGAGTATGTTCTCTGCCAGCTTTTCCTTGATTTTGGCTAGGACTGATACAAGGCTAACTGCCTATGCAATTTACCCTCTTGCTTACCCTTTCAAACTCCTGCCCTTACTTAGCTTCTTTCAAATCTAGCATGTTTGGAGTGCTTTGGCAAATTCTTTTTAAAGTTCTTGAGTGCAAAGTATCTAGTTCTGCAGATCTTAAAGGTTTTAACACTTGCTAGTGCTGCTTTACACATCTCCTTGCTAACTCCTGACACAGTATATTTTCTTAAGGCAATTTAATTTGCAGAACAGTAACGTGTTCTTTGCTACTGTTGCAGAGCATATTAAAATGCATTATTCAGGAACCATCTCAGTGTGTTGGTGGTGCCTCATTAGAGCAGGAAATGTGGATAACTCTGCAGTTACAATTCTGAATCCTTACGTGGTTGTTTTACTGATGTCCTGAACGCTCTGCAGTGGGTCAGTGGTATCAGGACAGCGGAGAATACAGGGAGCAAATACAATGGCCAGGGCATTCGCTGACATCCGATTAGTATCTTCCTGCAGGGCAATTCTAAACAGTAACAAAAAACAAGGAAGGCAGCGTTAAAGGCACTGGCAGGAAACCTCTGGGTAGAGATGGAATGATAACAAATTCCAAATTCAGACACAGCAGCAAATGAAGCACTGGACAGATGCATGCGATCTGTGGACCACCAGAAGCTCTCCCAACATCATGTAGCTTCAATGCAATGTAAAGAACTTCAAATTATTATCCTTGGGAGGGAAAGACACTAACAAGCAATGCTAAAAATATGTGAATGTTGTACCATTCAGCGGGGCAAAGATAAATACAACAGACACTGAACTCTCCTTAAACCATTCAGTGATGCTCTCTAGGAAATCTTTTGCTGTGCATTTCCAAGAGAAAACTGAGATCAGGTATGCTTATTATAATAACGGCTGCTCACTTAGTTCTCATCTATGCCTCAGGGACAGTTAGCCTCAAAACATCTACCTGGAGGGATCTTAGGTGGACATGATGTAGCAGGAATCTTCACAGCCTCCAATACCATGGACAGAGGCTAAGCCAGATGCAGTCTTACTCATAGAAAGGCTTCACATTTGATTCCTGGGGTCTCAATAGTCAAGCTAGAAGATGCAATGTGCAGCCACACTGGGAAGGATTACAGCTTGCCTCAGGGGAGACACAGGACCGCATTAATTTAACCTGGGAAGTGCAGTAGTTAAGTATGCAACACCATTGCTATAAATCAACAAGGCTCTTTGCTAAAGAGAGCTCTTGGTCTAAGCTACTAAACCCATTTCAGAATTTACAGTGTCCCTTTGTAACTTCTCTCATTTTTTCCTACCAAAAGGACTGCACCAGTCCACGACAGGATGTTCCTACTCATACAGTACATTTTACTGCTCCACTAAACACCCCACTGCACTACTCAGGGAGCAAGGTGCTACTTTGGTGAGAAATGTAGGAGAGCACCTAGAGGACTGATCACCTACCACAACAGTCCCTTACCTCACAAGGTGAAAGACAAGGCGTTCCAGAGTGTTGAGGTGGGTCCGAGAGAGCTGATCGATGACTGAGTACACACCTCGAATGGTTTCCTTCCTCTCCTGCAGGCCTGGAGAGAGCACACACAGTTACAGCAACTTCCCCTCAGTTTCTCCTGCCATCTTCACTTATGAAGGAGTTTGCTCGGATCAGTACATGGGAGACAAGCAACAGGCCAACGAACACAGACGAGCATAATATCTCTCATCTCCCTTTCCTGGTTGTACAAAAAGACCTCATGGCAGATTCCATTTCTCGGCTGTGTTCTCCTCCGCTACGAGTACCCTATGAGCAAGCTAAAACATGAGCATACAGAAGGTCTCTTTCCTAAATGGATTCCAAAAGAGTTATGAAGTGAACAACAGTGCTGGGTAGCAGGTGGCACAGCAACACCAACGCTTCGTAGAAACTGTTTTTAGTAGCCAGAACAAAGACTGGGTTTCTGGTTACTCCATCATAGATGGAGATCAATCTTGAACTGAGAAATCTTCAGAGAATTTTAATGAAAAACTTCCAGGTGTAACGCACACAAAATATGTTTGCTTCCTGCTTGTCACGACTACAGCAGTGATGCATTTTAAATAAAACCATTTTTATTCACTTTGGCGAGTCAACTATGATGCATTTACCAATCAGTTTGGTGCTTCCTGCTACTCCAGGGCTGGGCGATTATTTGGACTGGAGGCCCACTTAACAAGTTTTGGTGAGCTCTCAAGGGCTGCATGGGTAGCCCTGCCCCTTGAGAGTTGCCTCACCCCCTGGTCACGATCTTGAGACCAGAAGTCCTGCCCCTAGCACATGACTTTCGCCACAGGAAATCCATCCCTTTCTCTGCCCCACCCTCTGCCCTCCTGGGAGTACTCCTTTCAGGAGAGGGGGTTGCCATCTTAGAACCAGAAAAAAAACCAAGTCATACACTAAAAGGCAAATGCCGACTATAACATACTTTAATTTTATTACAAAAAATATTTTTGTCATGTGTGTTTGCATACTGTATATAGAGGTGACTGTATAATAACTCAAAAATAAAGTCTTAGCCTTGCATACTGGGGGTGTGGTTGCGGGGGGGAGAGGGGTGTACAGTGGGG